CGTACGGGTCATTGCGAAACTGATTAATACGGCATTAATTGCTTTCTATCCAACAAACACTCCTTATCGAGAAAGACGGACGATTGAAACTTTCTAATCGGACAAGCTGATGTCGTCCGCTTGACTATTCTGCACCCTGTGCTACTTAAGTTCTTCTTCGATCCATCATTTTGTGTAAGAAGCTGAACTTTCCCAAGCAAACACTCTTCAAGCAGACACTCTAAAGCAATATTTTTAAAATTTTCATCGTACTTCTCTATACGCGAACATGTAGATTAAGTTTTTTTTTTTTTTTCAGCTTTAAATTCTTACCAGCTAAACTGCCTCCCGATAATAACTACGCTGTAGCCATCGTTTAATACTTTTACTATATATACTTAAATATAATTTGGCCGTCAAATCTCATTTTTGGTAGCTAAACAACAACGCAAATGTGATGAAATCTGTGATGAAAAGTATGTTCAGCAGATGGTTGTGTAGATCTTATAATGAGATTGTAGAAAAGTTGTTTTCAAATTCATTCATTTCGATGAATGTCCGAAATCTTGACTTGATGGTGGCTCGCAAACAAATGATCACTTGTTGAAACTATTTTACGTATATGCAGAATAGAGATTTGTCAAGAAAGAAAATTTTTTTTTTTTGTGATTTTTTTCATATACGTAATGATGAATCATTGTCAGTGTTGGGAAACTTTTTCATAGCCAAAATGAAAAAGTGTATCTTTCGAGTTCATCACAAAGATTTTCAAGTTTCGACAATAAGACTTGAATGAATGCCTAAACCTTCTACAAGCTTTTTCTCACTTTATTTCGATTCGCATGTTGAAATAATTTCGAAAGAGTGCGAATGCAAAGGAAGTTTTTTTATTATAGATGTTAGATCGCTTTGTATATGTGGGACACAAATCGTAGCTTTATAAAAGGACATGGCGTACGACTTGTAACAAATTTAGTTTTCCGGAACAATAGGCATAACCAAGTTCTCTAATATCAATATCGATGTCAAACAAGGCTGTTAAGTCACGAAAACTATTCGAAAATATATTGGTTGTGACTTGTAACATTGCTGTGATTTTACGACAAATACGATCAGGTGCCTAAGTATAATCATGGATATGTTAAAAAATTGGAATGCGTGTGAACGGTTTTTTTTTTTTTTTTTTGAGAACTATTTGAATCGTTTTCTAGTTTTTAACATGATCCGCTCGGAATTCTTAGAAACCACCACGTTGAGAACTATACGCGAAAAGTGTGTTGCGAAAGCCCATATCTGACAATCAGACCAATATGCTGCTGCTATGTCCAGTTGGTGGAATCTGTTCAGAAAGCATTTTTCCTGTTTTCTCTTCAGTGGCATAGGTGGGAAGAACAAAGAACACTTCCTCCTTATGAGAACAGCTGTTGTGA